AAAAAAAAAAGAAGAATAATGATAAAAAAAGGGAAAATCAACCCTGCGTGATGGAGAAGGGGGGTCTGGGTGCAGGTGGGTGCAGGGGGGCTGCAGGAGGGCAGCCGRCTCCAGTGGGGTGGGACGTGTGGCTGGGATGGTCCCTGTCACTCTTGGTGCTGGTGGCAGGGTGGGTGTCACGGTGCCCTCCCTCCCCGCAGTGTTTGGGGCCTGAGGAGGGTGCGGATGGTCCCAATGTCCCCAGGAGCCCTGCGGGGACAGGGACGGGGATGGGGGCACCAGGAGGACAGGAGAGGGGCTCTGGGGGAGCAGTGGGGCGCCAGGAGGTGGCACCGTGGAGCCACATGGATGTGGATGTCCCCAAGGAGGGGACAGCGAGCACGGCAGGTTGGGGCTGGAGGTGTCCCCAGGAGCCCCCGGGGAGGTGGCCTGGGTCCCTGCTGGCGCAGGGGACGAGAGGACAGGGCAGGGGTGTCCCCTGGAGCCCTGAGGGGACAGGGGTGTCCCTGGGGTGACGGGGGGTGCCCCCTCCCCCGGCCCGGGGAGGGGACGGGGGTGTCCCCAGGTGCCCCGGACCATTGTCACCGCGATGGTCCCGACCGCATTGCGGGGCAGGGACGGCCAGGCCCCGCCCTCCGCCACGTGGCCCCGCCCCCAGGCCCATTGGCCCCGCCCCAGAGGCCCTCGGGAGGGGGGTGGCAGAAAGGAGGGGGGGGACAGTGGGGTGAGGGATGAGGGCAAGGGGAGGGGGCAGCAGGCGTCCGGTGTCCCCAGCTCTGTCCCCAGCCCCATCCTGTCCCCCGGGACACTTTGGGGGGCAGATCCGACCCCCAATGCGGGCGGCAGCATCAGGACAAAATGTGGGGGGGCAGCAGGACCCGTCCCCATCCCCATCCCCATCCCTGTCCCCATCCCTGTCCCCGCGAGCGGCACCAGGCTGCGCAAGCTGAGCCTTATCCGGGTTTATTTGCACCGATGAAGCGAGGGGAGACGCGGCCCGTGCAGGTGGGGGACAATGACATCGGCTTGGCCTGGGGAGGGGGAACAGGGAGAGCGGGAGCCCCGGGGCGCCCGGCTCCCGCCCCCGGCTCCGGGGCTCCCAGCCCCGTTCTGGGTGCCCGGCTGGGGACACGCAGGGGCCGTGGGGCCGGGCATGGGGCCCAGGCCGGCACATGCTGCTCCATGGGCTCGTGCTGCTCCGTGCGGGGGGGCGCCCAGCCCCGCCGCCACCCGGGCCCCAGTGTCACCCGGCACCTCCCATCCCTGGGTGCCACCAGCTGCTGCGTCCCCTCTCCCAGGGCGCCATCCTGCCCCGGGCATCCGCCATCTCTGCTGGAATTTGGGGGCTTTTCCAGAGTCTGGCCCATCCTCCTTCCTTATCCTTCTGTGTCCATGGGGCTGGCCCCTGCAGTGTCTCCACGGGCTCAGTGGCAGTGTCCGTGCGCTGTCCCAGCACCCTATGTACAGACACAAAGATGCAGCATCCCAGCCGTTGGACCCTTATCCGTCTGGCATCACCGGCATTCCCGCAGGACGGAGGCTCCGGAGCCGCCTCCTGCCGGCTGTTTCCACRCCGCGGAGCAGAGGTGACCTTTGAGGAGGGCAGCAGAGCCAAGCAGCTCCGGAGCCGGCGGAGACGCAGCCGGACACCCCATCCCGGACACAGCCCTGGCTGCAGCCAGCACCAGGCGAAAGCAGGGACACGCCAATGACCTGGAGCAGCCGCCGGCGCCTACACCACGATGGGGGTATCGGAAAACACCGAGCTCACCGAATCCGGGTCGGACATCTTCCTCTGCGCCCTGGCCACCTCCTTGCGCGCCAGCTCGGCCGTGCCGCCGCTGCCGCCGCCCTTGAACTTGCCGTTCTGGCCGCGCACGGCGGCCGACGAGGCCGAGCGGGGCCGCAGGGATTCGCCGGGCGCCGCGGCGTCGTGGTTGGGGGTGGCGCTGAGCACCGAGGAGTTGATGCTGTCGTCGCGCGGCGCGGGCGCCTTGTCGCCGGCGCGGCAGCAGCAGCGGCACGGCGTCAGGTACAGGTAGATGAGCACGAGCACCACGCTGAGCACGCAGCCCACCAGCGTGGTGTAGGCCGTGTTGAGCGTGTCGGGCGCGCCGTGGCCCGTGGAGTTGTGCACCAGCAGCTCCACGTAGAGCGTCTCGTTGAGCGCGCC